TTCATTTTTCTCTTTTTCCCTTTTTGGGAGCCAGGCGTTAAAGACTAGGACGTTCAAAAACAACTACAAATAAGGGGAATGTTAGAACATGATCTTGGATGCCTGGGATAAGGCTAGAAAAGACCTGAGCAGACAGTGTATTTACAGGTCAGGCTGATCCTTGCTGATCCACAGAGATAGTGTACAGCAATAATAAAAATAAAAACAAAAAACCAGCCAGCCCAGGGGAAGGGGGAGAATCAGAATTCCAAAGTTACCACGTTATTCAATTCAAATGTCCTGTGTTCAGTAAGAAAATCACAAGGCAAGGGCACCTGGGAGGCTCAGTCAGTTAAGTGTCTGCCTTCAGCTCAGGTCATGATCCCAGGGTCCTGGGATGGAGCCCCACATCAGGCTCCCCGCTCGGTGGGAAGCCTGCTTCTTCCTCTCACTCTCTCTCTGTGCTTGCTCTTTCTCTACATCTCCCTCAAATAAATGAATTTAAAAAAAGTCACAAGGCATACAAAGAAACCAGAAAGTATAGTTTATAAAAAGGAAAAAAAAAAATTAATGAAATTCTCTCTGAAAAAGACCTGATCGCAGATACACTAGACAAAGACTTTAAAACAACTAAAAGAAGTTGTGGAGAAAGAAAACCATGTATGAACCAAATAAAAATACCGATAAACAGATGGGAAACCTAAAAAGAAACCAAACAGAAACTCTGGAGCTCAAAAGTACAATAACTGAAATGAAAAATTCACTAGAGGAGTTCTGAGACAGAATTGCGCAGACCAAAAAAAAAAAGGTGAACTTGAAGAGAGGACAGGGGAAATTATCAAGTCCAAGGAAGACAAAGGAAAAGGTTGGAAGAAAATGGAAAAGAGCTTAAGGGGACCTGAGGGACACCAGCAGGCAGACCAATATATGCATTGTGGGAGTCCCAGAAGGGGAAGAGAGAGAAAGGGGCAAAGAGAATACTTGAAGGAATAATGCCTGGAGACTTCCCAAATTTGAGGAAAGACATGAATATAAATATCCAGGAAGCTCAACAAACACCAAGGAAGATGAACTTAAAGCGATCCAAGCTAAGAAACATTGTAATCAAACTTCCAGACCCAAAGACAAAGAATTAGAAAGCAGCAAGAGAAGGGAATTCTCACGTACAGGGGTCCTCAATAAATTATCAACAGATTTTTCATGAGAAAACTTTGGAAACCAGAAGGCAGTGGGTTGATACATTCAAATGCTAAAAGAAGAGACCTGTCAACCAAGAATCCTATGTCCAGCAGTACTCTCCTTCAAGAGTGAGGGATAAATTGAGACATTCCCAGATAAACAAAAGAGGGAGTTCATGACCACTAGACCTGCCCTGCAAGAAACACTCAAGTGGGTTCTGTAAACTGAAATAAAAGAATGTTAGTAACTTTATATGGAGAAATAAAGATCTCAATAAAGGTAAATACATGGCCTCCTGGGTATAGAGCTCTGTTTTGTAAAGTTAAAGGGATTGTAGGGATGGATGGGTGGATGGGTGGATGGATGGGTGGGTGGATGGGTGGATGGATGGATGGGTGGATGGGT